AGTGCCACTTCAAAAATTAACGAAGATATTTCCTCTTTTTTTTTTTTCTTTTTCATTTTAGCTGTTGCAACTCCAGTTTTAAAACACTGATGAAGTTTTCATACTTTTCTCATCAGGGTCATGAATCAAATGAAGCGCCTTCACTCGTAAGGCCTTAAAATACTTGGGTATTTTGACTGGAACTGAAGAGGAAAAACTGAATGAACTGGTATCTGTTATTGTTACTAGGAAGTAAGAAGTTGCAGGTAAAGCTCTGTTGCAGGCGACTACCAGTTGGTTACTGTTCCTCTGTCAACTTTCCCTGTCAGCCTATTGCAACAGAGAACAGAGCTGCCTCCCTGCCTGGGCTGAGATGATCTCCGTGGTAATTACATGTGGTGCCAGGGTTCCATCATCCCAAACCAGCCACGGTCTCCCAAGGTCTGGGCACTGTCTTCCCTTCCCATCTCTATGAACTAAGGACTCCTTTCCCAAAACAGGCCTATCCCAGCACAACCGTAAGTTTTTGTATCTGCGAGGATGCCTTGAACTGCAGTCTTTACCTGCCAAGGTACTTTAAAAAAGGTATTTTAAAGTGTACTTGCGAGGCATACCTGAAGGGCATACAACATGTGACTGAGCAGAAACAGACACAGTCGTATGAAAGAATCAAAAGTGCTTCAATTTTGTCCCATTAGGTAACATTCAGACAGCATAAGCTCCTTCCCACTGCATCCAGCCTAAGCCCGTGCCAAGCCAGAGTTTCTTGCAAACGTTCTGTAGGAATTCCCTGTAACAGTTTCTAAGTATTGGCAATAGCTTGTACTACAAAGACAACATTCTTACAAAAATGTAAACCCCTTCCCTGGGCAGTTCAGAAGGCGCATCTACCACAAACAATTTTTTTTTGCCCGATAAATCTGATGACAGCATATTCGGTTTAGGTTGCTCTTTCTTACACTGAATGGCAATTTAAATTAAAATCACTGCCCGTTCAAGCAAAAAAGAACAGGTCTTAATGGAATAATATCAAATTAATTTTCACTATGCTCTGATATGATCGAAAATTTTTAGCACACAAACATAACTATATGCCATGCAAAGGATAGCCCACAGAACATTTCTAACAACTACCTCTCCTTTCTCCCTTATTTTTAACACTTTCTCTTTAATATTCAAAACGGGTATTTCCAAACTCATTTTTGACACATCTTGAGTTGCTGACTGGGAGTGAAACAAAAGACAAAATAAAGAGTATATTGGAGAATAAGACCAGAGGAAATCCTCTGTTGTACACATGTAAGCACAGAAGAATAAACTTCACATGATCAAGGTTAGGCCCAGCTTGTAGTACAGCTACAACCCAGCCCGATTCATAATTTGACTTTTACATTTTTATATTTTGCCTTATAAGACAGAACCACGTTAGAAAAATCACAGAAAGTGACTGATCAGATGTAAAAGTAGTAGGCCACCCTCCTTCTAATAAGAATAACTTTTTCTCCTACAAGACAAGGGTTGAATTTGACATCCTATCATTGCCTCACACAAGGAATAATGGCATCACTAATGTAAGAAGGGAGAACTCAATATTAATTTAGTCACTGTAGTTTTAAAACCCATGGTAAGCAAAGGGCAAACACAAAGATTTGACATGTTAGGAATATGACAGGCCCTTTTATTGTCTGCCATCCAACTTGATTTCTTCATTATGGGCCTGCCAACAAGAGCAACCAGAGCCTGCAGATACAATAATACATCAGCATCGAGTGCAAATCAGGTCTGTTGTTTGCTCTAGTACCCTTCGCCAATGACACCATGAGTGAAGGCTCAGATGACATCCACAAGTTGCTGCAGTCTCTCTCTCTCTTTCTTTTGTTCTCTCAAAAACTATCCTTTATGCTGAAACTTCCGATGATCTCCTTAAGTCTCCAAATTCAGTTTAAAAGCATATTTCTAGAGAGACGGGGAAGCGGGAGACTGTTTTGTTTGTTTGGAAGTAGCACGGGTTTTGGCTGTTTACAAATCTATTGGATGAATGCTATGAAATTAAATATTTAACCTTGTAAAAAGGGCTTCTCTTCTTGATAGATGCCAGGCATTATATACATTTAGAAACCACTCAAAAGGATGCCAGCAATACTGTGCAACAGTTTATGCTAGTAAGAGAACACTCTATCCAACTCTGTAAAGCAGATGAATGGGGCAAGCCAGGATACAGTTAACCATGTTGGAAACTGGCCGAGACGTTATGGTTCACATACCTCACCTTGTGAAATGCTCCATGGGATCTTTAAACAACTACAAGTGCCTAGGAATTTGGGGTTAATCAAAAGAAAAATCAGTTCACAAATACTAGTTACAGGATGTATGACTATACGAGGGGGAAGCCCACATGGCTGGTCTGAAGTAAGTATCAATCCCAATGGAGGCATCTGAGAGAGGAAACAGCCTGGGCTCTGGAAAAGCCAGACCCAGATCATTCCAGAGGAAATGCTACCAACAAAGGCTAGGTAGTCAAAGAAGTGGAAAGACCATCCAGCATCATAAGGAAAACACAAGTTATGAGCCCAGGAAAAGCTAGACACAAACTAGGGCCTGACTCGCTACTACACATTTCCCTCTTGGTGGTGTGGACAGGAAACTCATGCAAAAGCCATCCTAAAGAAAACCTGAGTGTATACAGCTGTCAAACAGTATACTGTTCCGTCCATCTTGACGAACTCACACAACC